TAATCACGGGTTCACTACAAGAAAAATTGTTTTTTGCGTCGACAAAAAGTCGACGCTAAAAGTCAAAAGTCGACACAAATACTTTATTTGCGTCAACATGTCGACGCAAATGTGTTGACGCAAAAGATGCGACGCAAATAGTTTATTTGCGTCCACATTTGTCGACACAAATAAAATTTAGCTTTTGCGTCGACAATGTTGACGCAAAAAGTCAAAAATTCGAAAAAATAAAAAGGATCATTTGTGTCGACGTGTTGACGCTAAAGAGTCTATTTTTCAAAAAAAAAAAATCAATATCTTGAAATATAATATAATTGCTATATATTCACTTCACAACATCCTGAAATACAGAAACAACATAAGCTCAAAGCTCAATTATCCAATCATTAAGACAAACTCTCAATCAGATAAGTTAATTTTAATCAGCGTGATCAGAATAACATACTAAACTAAATTAATTCCAAGTTAAAATGTAAATTAAAACTGCTATGACGTAAAAAAAATACAACCAATTGCATTTCCACATTTATATTATAGGCCTAAAAACATGATGTCAGTGGCAACAATCAAATGGACAGGATTTGAAACTTCTTTGGAGTAAAATTCATGGATAAGAACACTTCCGCCTGAAACTCCAAATCCAGAGGAAAAACTATCAGCCCAGAAGAATTTCGTCAAATATTTCAGCAGTTATTCTCAAACGATTAGTGCCCTGACCCATTAACAAAGACACATTAATCAAACGGATGAATAAGACATGTCTGTCAAGTTAACAAATACTTTAAACAAAGTGCATTCATGCAGATTCTTTCAAATATTCTTACATAATCAAGTAGTATATGCCCTACTAACAATGTATTGAAACGAGTAACCTATTTATGGACTTGAGTATACTTTTTGCTCTCCTAACATCACTCGATTTTGAAGTTTGAACACTGACAGAGTATATAGACTCGGACCCCCGGGTCTCACGACTATTGGGCTCGGACAACGGCCCACATACGCTCAGTAGATAGCATTTATCTCATTGTACACTCTATTTTATTCATGTATATCCATTAGAATAGATTAGATACCATTTATTAGCCATTTATTGGCCTTTTATTGTAGTTGGGCCTTCCAGGCCCAAGCCTGGAAGCCCAGCCCACTTTTCTCCTATAAATACTCCCTATGGGAGCCATGTAAAGGATGGTAAAATGGTTGATTGGAATTCATTATACATATCACTTTATCTCTCTAGCTCTCCCTTCTCTCTAAGATTAAATAATCTATCAAACACCATTCCATTCCCGAAATCTAAAATCAAACAGAATACAAATAACAAGCTTTAAAACCCATTGATTAGGTTATATAAGGGCTTGTTATACTAATAGTTAAAGTAAATATTAAACTTAGTTGATTCAAGATCTTAAAAAGCGACAATAGTCATATTTTCGTATTTTTATGTCCACCTAAGCATCACAAAAATAGAGAATATTTTTTTGAAGTAAGAAAAAAATGTATACATACGTATGTCAAGCTAGCGCATGTTCAAGTAGTATAGGGAATTGAGCAATTACCTGAAAAGATATTTCATTATTTATAAGTAGTCTTACAATAAAATGTCCTAAACATGTAAAACAAAACTGATCTACTTACATCAAGTAGCTCAAGGTTGAGTAGTTTGGAGGAATTGGAGCACTGGCTTGCTAGCTACAATGTATGTTCACAACCTGCGTACCAAAAACAACATTGAATCCCAAACCAACTAACTGCAAACAAAAAGAACTATTCTAATTAAACATAGCACCAAGGGGTATTAAAAAGACAAGTGACATTAACACCTTAAAATTGTTTTTTTGTGGTGATTTTCTTTAAAATAGAGTCTAAATAGAGTCTTACTCAATTTTCATTCGCAATCATCCCATGTTCCACCCTTTTAATAGTGAAACTAGTCTAAAAAGTAATCTGTTTAAAAAAACTCATCACAGATTCACAAACTAGAGATTGATTCTAAAATAGAAGCATAACATATGACAAAATCTTCAGTGAAATTGAGAGAGCATATATGAACAATTAAGCCTTAAGGTCTCACCATAAAATTATGGTCCCTGCCATGCAGACAAACACCATAAATTGCTAACAGCCCAAACCAGTCTTGCACCAATCCCACTGGCACATTGGATCAATAAGGAAAAATGTTAAGCCAAGAACAACCTGTTCCAACAATGCTACTGTCAACATTATTCTGGATTTAGGTGTTTTTAACAGGAAAAAAAAGAATGATGTACCATGATGTTCAATTGTGAATTCTTACAGAATTCAATAGCAAACCAAATGCCCATTCTCTGACACCTTGATTATAAGCTTTTACTTCAGAAACATCTCCATGATAGACTTCTCTTCCCATCCAATCAGTGTCAAAAAGGAAAAAGGGAAACCAAGACAACTGGTTGCAAGAGTTGAGGACACCATATTAGTAAACAGATAAACTAAGAGTTTAAAGCCAAGAAATAATATTATTCATAACAAGGTTTCCATGATTCCATGATTGAGATCTTCATAATATACAGTGAAAATAGCACTTTTAAAGCCAAATAAGATAGGAACTAAAGGTAATTATAATCGAGAAATTACCCATGTCAATGCCATGACAACAACTACTGGATGCATAGCAGGAGGCATGAGCTGGTCAACAACTTAACCAGAACTGCAGCTGGACTGCCATTAAAGGTATCATCTGGATCATTCCAGTAGCTAAGCCAAAAACAGTAGCTAAGCAAAGTACATTCCAGTTTCAAAATAAGACAGCTCCAAGTGTGCCAATAAAAAAGAAAGAAAAATCATGACAAGTACTAGAACTCAACGACGGTGCTTGGGTACAAGCTGAAAAGTATTCTATACACCACCACTTTAATTTTCATACTGAAATCAATTTAAGTAATAGCATAAAATAGAAAAATTAAATCAATTCTCAACACTTTTTAGATTCATGGAAAATGTGTAGGAAACTAGCTATAACATACCAATGGAGGAGAAGACAATATGCTGAGGTCAGTCTAGTAGACTTCGAATGGAAGATAGCAAAACTATACAGATGAAATCAGAAGACAGACTAGTAAAGTTAACTGAGAGATCGTAAATATAGAGAAAATTAGCAAATATAATTATAGATGAACTCTTAGAAGATACCTTGAGGAGGTAAAACTAAGTCTGATTTTCTACCAGAACAATCAATTGTTAAGGTTTCAAGGAGACGCCTATGGTGGCTGAGCTTCTCTAGCGACGCTCTTCTTCTGACCGCTGACCGCCCAAAAATGGCTCACGTCGTCGACCTGCTTCACTGTTCCGATCTGTTCAAGGGTCGGTGTCCCAATCGTTTTTCAGTGGTGGTGTTCCTGCGAAGGACGAATCTATTGCCGGTCGTCCATGTGCTCGATGCTTTTCGGTGGAGGCAAGCTCCCGCTGTTGCCGACTTGCCACATAGCTTGGGAGACAGACCCTTCAATTCCCCTTCGCTGGAATTACTCTGTGGCGGCAATTTAGTGTGGCTAGGGTTGTGTTTCATTTTACCGCTCAGAGAACTCTAATACTTCCTAAATATCATTAGCGTCAACAAGAGTACTATTCACCGATATCTTTTTCATAATTTTTTAGAATGTTTTTTGCCGTCCACAAGTTGACACAAAAAAACTATTATTCGTGTCCACATGTGTTGACGCAAAAACTCTGGACGCAAATAATACTTTTTGTTCATTGTTTTAAGGTTTAAATATGTTTTTAGTCCCTGCAAATATAGCATACTTTGTTTTAGGTCCCTGCAAAATATTTTCTTTGTTTTTCATCCCTGAAATTTATGTTGATTTTCTTTTTAGTTCATGACTACTGACAACAACCTCCGTTTGACAACGAAATAATCCCGACTAACAGGTATTCTTTAATTTTTTTGTCATGCCAATCAAAAAATATTTAATTTCATTTTTAAAAGGTTTTTAATACATATTTTAAAAATGCAAATAATTAGTTTTAATATTGTTTAACTCTCTTATTAGACTCAAAAACCTTATAAACTGATAAATTTAAATGTTTCTAATAGATTTATGTAACTGATAATAAAAAAGTTCTAAGTAGAGTTGTTTCGGAGTTAGAGATGGACTAAAACCAAAGTAGCACATATTATAGGGGTGAAAAACAAAGAAAATATTTTGCAGGGACCTAAAACAAAGTGTGTGATATTTGGAGGGACTAAAACCATATTTAAACCTTGTTTTAATCCTATATAGGGAATTACTCTATAAATTATGGGCGCCTATCTTTAAATGGATAGGTAATGTCCTCCTTGTAGAACCGTAGTACCCCTTCATTCTTTATTAATAGTCCTCTTAGCCTTAAGTACGAGTTTTAATAACAAAGTAATAGAGTAAGTATAAAGTGTGTAACGTAAATGATAGAGTAGGAAAAAAGGTACTCCCTCCGTCCCACTTTCCTTTTTGGGACGTCCCATTTATTCCTTTACCATAAGTTTCCTTTTTAGGCAATTTCTTTTACATTAAATGTCCTAACTACTCTTCATCACCCACCCACCTTTTATATTTGAGTGGATATCATTAATTCCTCTCAAAAGTCAAAGGATATGCAAGTCATTTCTTCTTCTATTAATTGAGCTCTTAAAACACCGTGCCAAAAACAAACGTCAAGATTCAACCAGGACGGAGGGAGTATATTAAAAAGAGTAAAGTGACAATGATAAAATAAAAAAGAAAGTGTATTAAGAAGAGTAAAATGATGGCAAAGTAGAAAAGAGAAAACAGTTTGTGAAAAGTAAGTGAGGTAAAAGTAATAAAAGTGATAGTATTTTCTCAAAAACTACAAATAAAAAACGTCCCAAAATGAAATGGAGTACTATTAATAAAGAAGGGAGGGAGTATGTACGTATATTATATGGAGTGTAATTTTATAACGCATTAATGCATATATTAAGCTGGTTAAATACGATAAAAAAAAGCTGGTTAAATTGTTACCTGTCCCTTGTATGTTGAGAATTCTTCATCAAAATCTACAGTAGCAACCACCGGATGGTGTGCTACTAACTCAAGAATTTCCGATTCCGTAAGCTCCCCTTCGAATTCTCTTCCCATTTGTGCCGCCTTGTGGAGCTATTATATGAACATAATAATAATCAGTATTACAAAAACACCTAATTATATAAAAATTAATTAGTTTATATGATTAGTAGCATGTCATCATGTGAGAACCAGGTACATTTGAGGGAATGAGGGATTGTTGACTAAGTCTAAGACATCATAAACAAACTAAAGTGCAAAATTAAAGAATATTTTTTCAAGATTTCTAATACAGCATACATACATGTATGCATGCATACATACATACATAGGGCCGGACGGCCGGTCCTTCCCTTAGGTCAGTGAGGCTTGGGTCTCAGGTCCCAAACAATTTAAAAATTAGGGGCTCAAAATTTAAATACATTTATAATGTATGTATATGCATTAAAAAAACAAAAGCTACACTGGTTGTGTAGTTTAAATTGTCCAATACAGAAGTAACAAAACGTGCGGGACAATAGAGTTATCAATCAAGTGGTGAAGTACAAACATCAAGTCCCAAATTTGTCCATATGTTATTATTTCCAAAATCTAGCTTTTAGTATGATCAGATTTGCTTATTTGATAAATTATTGATTTATAAATACACGAATGAATTTACTTATTAACTTCTATTTTCTATTTGCTATAACTATTGACTAAATCTTATATTATTGGTTGGGATTTGAAGTATCTGCATAAAGAAATGCTATTTAAAAATTAAAAGCAAGTTGATTCTAACTTCGTAGTATTTGTGATATTTTATATTTGAGAATTTAGATCTACTTTTTAATGTAAGATTATCATGATAAAAACCGTGCAATTTTCAATCCAAAATTAATCAAAATTGTGGTTTTTTTTTGTTAAAACGTAAGAATTTTATTTAAGTATTGAGTTTTTGGGATATTAATCCTCTATTTTTAAATATATATATTGTATTACAAAACAAATACTATGTATAGTGCCCTTTTAAGAAAGCTTGACTCAGGCCCGAGTGTAAGGAATAAATGTAATTAGATTTTGATGATGCTATAGGATTAGAAAGATAGAGTACCCCCAATTAAATTTTATGTATTAGAATTTTCAATTGTAAGTATTAGTGTAGTCGACGATCAGAGTTGCTCTCCATTTTTGGATCAGATCAGAAGTGCATCAGAACTGCTCGACCAGACTTGCTCTATGAGAACTGCTCCATCAGAGTTCTCTTACCAGAAGTCCATCAGAGGTGCATCATGAGAGTTGCTGATAAGACTGGACATCTGATAGCCGATAAGAACTACAGATCAGAAGCACTCATCAGCGGACCCATCAGAGTCAGAGTTCAGTCAGAGATCAGAAAGCCATCAGAACTCAACTCATCAGAAAGCCATCAGTTTTCAATACTTCAGAAGAGCCTGATCAGAGCCCGACTAACACTTAGAAGATTTCAAGCAACATCCAACAGCTATGAATTCAACGGGTAAAAACATCCAACGGCTAGAAGACTGTGCATGAAAGGAAAGCATTTAATGCACATTAAATGAGCCTGATACGCTGAAGGATTGATTGCAAATGATTGACCAAGGAATCCGGGAAGATATATTTTAAAAATAGAAACCTTCCAAAAACGGCGGTCAAGTCAACTGTACGCGCATTTAATGCAGTTGTCTCCTCCTCCAACGGGCAGACAACCTCCGTATATAAGCTACATACCGAAGAACTGAAAAACAACTTTGCTACAATTTTTGCTCATCATTCAAGCTCTCTTGAGATTCAAATTCTACAACCTTCAACAAGACAAGCTTACGTTGGGAAGATTCAAACTCCAAATCACTCATCCCCAACAAACAAGCAAAGTTCATCCTGTTCTTCAACACTTCAAGAACTTCATCAAACATCATTTGTAGCGAAGAAAGTTGGAGGAAAAACTTTGTTTTTCAAAGGATCTTCTGAAAAGAAGGGCGTCCAAGTAACTGCAGTAGTGAAGTGGTGATACTTCCGGGAAGCTGAGTGAAAGGACCAGCCATCAGGATGTGGAACTGCATCCTGGGTGGCATCTAGGCTTGAAGAAGACGAGGAGTGCTTCTTAAGTGCTAGGAACTAAGCTTTGTAACCGATCTACTTCAAAGCTAGTGGAACAGTGGACTAGAGGAACGAGTTGTTCCTTGAACCACTATAAAAATATCCGGTGTCATTTACTTTACTGCTATCTATATTTCTGCACTTAGGATATTAACTGATTAACTCTAAGACTTGGAATCTGTGTTCAGCAGATCTTGTTCCCAGAGTTATCAGAAAGGCATTTGCCTTAGTAATTTTCCTGAGGCTACCCGGACAGTTCAGAATCCGCTGCCAAGGCCAGTTCTGATATCAGAACCAGCCTTTCTCTGTCATCAGAATCAGACCTTCTCTGATAAGTCAGTTTTGACTTTGAGAAAAAGTTGAAAAACCAATCAGTCTATTCACCCCCCCCCCCTCTAGACTGATTACCATATTAAACGGGACCAACAAGTGGTATCAGAGCCTCCTTGTTCTTGTAATCTTTTAGGTTACTCTCTGAACAAAGATCCACTTGTTCTTAGCCTCTCTTTATTTATTATAATGGATAATTCTCTTGCAAAGCATCTTATGTTCACAGATCAGAAGTATGATGATTGGAAGATCAGAATGAAGGCACATCTATGTGCTCTTCATGATGAAATGTGGGAAGTCTTGGAAAATGGCCCCTTTATCCAGTTCATGAAGATCAATCCTGCTCACTCCATTGATAACTTTCAGCCCCAGATGATTGAGAAAGCCCGGTCAGAATGGACCAAGGAAGAGAAGAGGCAGTACAATCTAGATAATATAGCCAAGGACATCCTTTACAAGGCTATTGATGAAAGATACTTTAACAGAATCAAGAAGTGCAGAACTGCCAAAGAAATCTGGGATAAGCTGGATGAGATTGGAGCAGGAGATGAACAAGAAAGGGACAACAAGCTGACCATTGCAATGAAGAAGTTTGATGACTTCAAACTCCTACCAGAAGAATGCATTGCTAAGATGCATGAGAGATTGCTGATTCTCATCAGTGAGATTTCTGAGCTTGGAAAGGAGCTCACCATCAAAGAGGTCAACATGAAGATCCTCAGGGGACTGCCTTCAGCTTGGAAGATGAAAGTAATTGCAGTCCAGGAAAGCAAGAACATCAAGACTTATGCCACTGAGAAACTCATCTCTGATCTCAAGGCTTATGAGTTTGAGATGCATGAAGAGAAGGAAGAAGTTCCTGATGAAAGGACTACCACTGCTCTCACTGCCAGTACCTCAAAGGTAAGTGACTTTGACCCTTCTACTCTTTTATCTGATGAGTATATGGCTGCTTTTGCCAGGAAGTTTAAGAAGTTCATGAAGAAAGATGGAAGGAGTCCATCTTCCATCAGAAGACCTTATCAGAAGACCAAATCTTCTGAAAGCAATGGAGAGTACCTCTGCTACAACTGCAGACAACCTGGGCACTTTAAAGCAAACTGCCCCTATCCAAGAGTGTCCAAGAAGCAAGGACATGAAGAAGAAAAGAAACCAGATGATCAACACAGAAGAAGGAGAGCATTTGTCTCAGAACAAGCTGAGAGAGATCCACTCTCTGAATCAGAGTCTAGCTCAGACTCCGACTCTGATGAAGCATTCTGCTGCTTGGATGCAGAAACTGAAGACCTCTGCCTCATGGCACAATCAGATGATGAGGTATGCTCTACTTCTAATTCTATTTCCTCTTCGGTAGGCACAGCCTTAAATGATGATCCAATGTCATCATTCTGGGAAGAGTTCCAAACTATCCAAGCCACTTATTCTTTTGTTAAAGATGAGAACAGTAGGCTGAAAGTTGATATCTCTGATCTAAGGAAAGAGACTGAGTGTAAACTTAATCTCTTAACTGAGGAAAGAGATAGACTGAAAGCTGAAAATGAGTCTCTTCTGAAAAGAATAAGAGACATTGAGGAACTTGAGAATAGATATAATAGTCTTCTGAAGATGCAATCCTCCATGAAGAATATTGGTGACTCTCATAACTTCACTTCTGGTCTTGGATATGTTGAACCAGAGTCTGGTGAGCCTTCTGTAAGGCCTAGCACCAAAATTGCTAAGGCTAAAAAGGTCATAGTGCCACAGACTCTGAGCCCCCATTGCCATGCTAGTACTTCTGGTACTAAAGTTGTTCATGAGAAGGTCATACCAGAAAAACAAACTCTAAAGGCCAAACCAAAACAAAGTTTGAAAACTAATAAACCTGGCAGAAATTCTAACAAAAGGGAGAGTTTTCAGAACAATAATAATCAAAGGCCTAACCCTATCAGACAATCTCATGACAATGGTATCAGAAACTGCTATCAGAAAGGCAGATATCAAGAGAAGATTAACTATAGGCAGAAGAGGTTGTCTGGTCAACCTCAGAAGTCTAAAGTTAAGCGCTCCTCTGATCTTGATAGTATATGGGACTTCTTTCCAACAAAGAAGGCTATGCAGAAGTATGCAAACAGAACGCATGATCCTCACAAGCATCTGCCCAAAGTGAATCATACATCTGTTTACTACAACTACCAGGTGGACAATGGGTACCATCCACCAAGGTTTCAGTTGATGAGACCAAAATGGTACCAACTACCAAGACTGCATTACCCCCCAGGACCCAACATTGCTTGGGTACCTAAATCTTCCTTTTAATCTTGCAGGAACTGTGTGCTGGAGCCATCTCAGAACAAGAATGGTATATTGACAGTGGATGCTCCAGGCACATGACAGGTGACAAGAGTTGCCTATCAGAGTTCCAGAAAATCAATGGACCCAGAGTCACTTTCGGTGGAAATGACAAGGAAGGGCAAACAAAAGGAAGAGGAAAGCTGATCAAGAACCAGATAATCATTGAAGATGTCTCATATGTCAAAGGTCTGAAGTTCAACTTGCTGAGTGCTAGCCAATTTTGTGACAAAGGCTACACAGTTGAATTCACCAAGACCTTATGCTATGTCAAGCATGAGACAACCAAGGAAGTGGTTCTTACAGCAAA